GTTGCATGTTGCATGTTGCATGTTGCATGTTGCATGTTGCATGTTGCATGCTACAAGTTGCATGTTATTTTTTTTTTGAATAGCCGTATAAAGTCAAATGCTAGCTAGTCTTGCGATTTCACTTACGTTGGCCCCTTAAAGATCTCGGAAAGTTAAATCAAGAGGAGCCGAACTTAAACTAGTGAATCTGCACTTACAGATCACGCAGAAAGACTGGACATATCCATCCTAACCATGCGTAGAATGTTTGGAGTATAGTGCCAGGAGCATGACCCGAAAAAATTAGTATTGGAAGCCTGGCATTCTGCCGAGGACAAGAGCTTTAAGTACTAAATAAACCGGCCATTTTCGAGTTCCAAATTACTGCTGTGTTCTTTCAGACTCATTTACTCAGGGTTTTCACCCTTTTTCTCTCTTTAAGGTGGCTGACTACTTTTCAACATTCGATTTGAACCCACGCTGTGCGTGCGCTCAAAAAACGCTGAATAATCTTCACGATTTTATTGAAAAACCATGTACACGTTTTGAGCTTCAAGAGGGCAAAACCCTCAAATTTTGCACGGGACTCTATCATTTTTTTGTTATTTTTCAGAATAACAGGTAATTAATTAGTCATGTTCTTCCTTATTTTTTTGTACAGAGCTTGATTTTCGCTATTTTTCTTCACAAAATTGCACAAACGAACGTATCTCAAAAACGAGCTCAGGACACCCCATTTTTCTTTACATTTTCAAAATCAGCACTAAATTTCAGGTCAAAAACGTTTTGATTTTCAAATTTCTGATTATTATTTACCAAAGAGTCAGCCACCTTAAGAGAATTTATCAAGTATTTTGAAATATAAATAAAACAGAAAAATGATTATTTAATTTATAAACAAACGTCTTATTTCGCATCAAACAATTAATTCGATACATTCAATAACCTGGTAAAGCGGCATCTTTACCGAATGCAGCTCAAAAAAACTTGGTTAAGATGATGGCGACTGACTTTTAAGCCTCACACTGGACTGAACTCATCAAGACTAATTAATTCAACCGCAGCAAATTGAAAGCAGCACAGCAAAAAATGTTATATTGTTTTTAAAAAATATCGCTTGACTAGCCACCGTTTGAAGATTTTAAATTAGTTTGTGGTCGTTCCGTAAACGTGTTCAGCTGCTTCTTCCCAAAGATTAACACAAATGTCCTTTTGTAGTCCGTCAAAGACATGCTTTTCTATCTGTGGAGCCAGCTTTTTAAACACATTTCCTTTCCTTTGAGAGTTCTTAGAATCCTCTTTGCACAAGACTTCTGCAATCTCGAGTAACTGTGTTGTTTGTTTATTTGCTTCTTCTCTGCTCCTCCGGAATATTTGAACGTAGAAATCGCTTCGTTTAAAACTTTCTTGGTCACTTCTTGTCAAACCACTGCATCCTAAAACATGTTTACTCATTGTTGAATTACGTACCAACCTAAAAAACAAATACGCACGTAAAATGACCTTTCAACTGGTAAAAATAGAGATTTGACCAGTCACCTATTTACAGTTTCTTCCAGGCTGTTGTGAGCGGCTTTTTATTTATTCGCACGTCATGATAAGTGATAATTCAGTTACTACATTACTCTATTCATACCTAAATTACTGTATTTTACTAAGTTTTGCCCGAAGCACTTTTTTAAAGACAGCAGCTTTTAGTCTCACTACAGAATCAATTGGAATATAGACAAATTACATGTATGAAACTATAAAAAGATATAACTAGCTAAAAACTAGTGTGAGCTGCGTCGGTGTTTCTAATGAAACAGTAATGATGAAAAGGTAAATTATACACCGTGAAAAGATGAAAAAACTTACTGACGTTTCGGACGCTAGTCCTTCGTCGGAGTAATTTACCTTTTCATCATTACTGTATGAAACTATGAGCTTTCGATGAAGTTACGTCGTAAAAAATATTTTAGCATTGTAGCATTGATGCTAATTGTTTGTTAAATAGAGTTCATTAGTTATTTTAAAAACACCTCATTTACTTACACTTTACAAGTTGTTTTCTTTCTTACACTTGCAATTGCAATAACGAGTCTTCGAACTGAAGTAAGAAATCAAGCGATAAGTTTCTTGAAATGTTTTTCGTTGGAATATTTTGGATAATATGTTATTCCCCAGAGAGACACTTCAATCGCACTGAACAATAAAACGACCACTAAAAAGCGTTTTGGGTTTGTTATTAATTTAAATTATTCGTGGTTTACCGATACAGGCACTGGAAAATGTTTGGAAGGCCATTGGTATTTGACTGAGTTCGCGCCGAACGTATAGTACAAATTCTTCAAGACGCCATCACTGTTTTGATCAAAGTTTGGAGTAAAATGAGAGCTTAATCGCATATATTTTGCACCGTTCTTAAGGATATGTTATTCTTAAGGATATATTGTTCATTGAAGTAAAGTTATAAAGTAAATATAACAATGCATTCAATGAACTAAGCTTGATATTTGATATGTGTGATGCTTTTTTAATTCGATCAAGGCCACAAAATATAGACACTAGTCAGAGATTGAATTTCTTGTGTTAAAAGTGGAATCTTGAGGTCAAAAAAAGAAATATAAATCATTTCCGCTTTCGACTCTTTGATCTAAACATTCGCGCGGGATGTTGAGAGAACAGACTGTAGTGAAAATGGCACGAAGCGACTTTAGCCAATCACAGCCACGTATAATCAGTGCAGCGATCGGACACTCGAAACTTGAACACGTCGAATGACTATAAAAATCGTCCCTTTATAGCTTAAGCCAATGATTTGAAATAAGGGTTATTTTGATCACTCGATGTATTTGAACTCAATGCTTTATTTTAGATGGTTTAAAATAGTACGAAGCTCCACTTGAAATAATAAAAAGATAAAAACTCGACGAAGTGTTCGCTGTAATATAAATTTCAGTTTCATTTCCGAGATACAGTAAAAACCCGCATAAAAGAACACCCATTTTTGGAGTTGAGGCTGATTTTGTTCTTATTTAACGGGTGTTTCTAAAAAATCAACCTGAAGGTGTTCTTAAGGTGTTCTTAAAATAAATGGTTCTAAAATATATACAGTATTACTATATAGACTACCAATACATGTAGATGATATCAATGTGTAAGTTCAAAAATGTTATCAAAAAAAATCTTGACTGACAATGATAACTGTATCAAAACAGTAGAAGAATAAATTAACCCTGATTGGTTATTTCTAATTTTGTTATAGTGTAATTATATAAATTTATAATAAAATTGAATTGAATTGAATTAAACTCTATTACTGTACTGCAAAACAGGTCTAGCACATAAATATTGATCTTATTATTTTTAAGAACACTTTTGAATATTTCAGGCTGATTATATTCTTTTATATGGTACTTTTAAAAACGCCCAAATTCAGGCTGGGTGTTCTTAACCCACTTGTTCTTTTATGCGGGTTTTTACTGTATCAGATATGTGATTGATGCATGAGCATGAGCAGTGCGTTGACGAAACAAAGTTGTGCTATTAAAGTGACCACTGACTTGTCTAGATCTGACTTCTCGTTTAAACTTTCAAACAAACAAAAATCCATTCTAATACTCACCATTATTTACCAGAGAATTGTGCATTTGTTGTCTCAAATTTACGAAGTCTGTCTTTGTCAACTCACAAGAAGCATAATCCCCATGCAAGCAGTAGAAGTTTTTTCTTTATTATTTTCATTTGTTCAACCATAAACATTGACAATAATTGTTAAGAGCTAACCTAATTATCTTACATTGTTAAAAATATCTTTTAAATAGAGCGCTTTTCGTGTCTTCATTTTTTGCGTCCCACACAACTTTGGTCGAGGCACGTTTTCTTGTTTACGGCTTTCGGCCTCTGAGTGTTCGAGCGGACCAGAGGATAGAAAATCATTAGTAGAACTAATCAGCTGTATTTCCATTTTTGACCACGTGTCATTCCCTAGAGTATTATTTCTTTGTTTAACGGTTGCACATGAGAAGACATATGAATAGGGATAAAGCTCAAACAAAGAATCTTATTCTCAAGGGAATGACACGTGGTCTGTAATTAATAGATAGATAGATAGATGAACTTTATTTACCCTCGGTTTTAAAATAAGACTTGCTAGGCCTCTAGCATAGCTGCTACTGGTCCGAGAAAATGTGGAAGTTTACGCCTGACCTGGATTGCTTAGGCTTATTGACGCGAACAGAACTAGTCAAGACACAATCTGCCTCAAGAAGGTCATGGAAGTGGATGTAATATGAAAACAGCTTTAGACTAGCCAAAAGAGATCGTGGTATCAGTTTACTGTCAATGGAATATAGCTAGTGTCATTCCGATGGTAGAGAATGACGGAATCGTGGAACAGCAATGTACCACAGGCAGCCTAATCTCCGTTTTTGTCTGTATATATACACTTAATTGAAAAAACGTAGTCGGGTTCGAGAAGGTCATATCATCGAAGCTAAGACCGAAAAGGATTTTGGGTACTCCGAAATGTGTATTATATTTGCATATAGACATGTAAAAATGCACAGTAGAGCAAAGTAGGTCGACCTAGATTAACAACATGCCAAAGCC